GCCAAGAAAAAGACAAATCGTGAGGCATCACAAAAAAGTTGCTAATTCCTCTAAAAAAAAACATTTTGTAGCTATTTCACAGCGCAAGTTGATTATGGTCTCAAGATAAATGTATCTAGTCTATCCACCGTGAATAATTGCACATATACATTCAACGTGGTTGAGAATGAATGGAAGCCTCATGAAGCACAATTACACTAGTTTACGTTTTTTACAGAGTTAAGAAAGGTCTTGGAATGCTGCTCAGAGTCAGGGCGTGATGGCCTTTATGTGCTGGTTTCTACCATTACGCGATACCAAACTGAAAAAGAGTGTCAAAGCTTGATTATTCGCGACACAATGTTTACAAGCCGGAAGGAAGTTCTTGCGGGACAAGCAACCGAACCAGTGAGCCATAACACGAAATAAACACGACAAAGAGAGTCAAATAAATTTTGTAAATCATAAAGACTACGACTTGCACCCGCCTGACGGGCAGTTTTTCAAGGCTTGGTAAGCCTTTGAAAAATATCTCACACGTAAAAAATCGTCGCAATTTCTCACCTGTGCTGTTACGGTTTTTTCTTAGGGCTGGAAATCCTTGTAAAATACCACAGTTTAATAGAGAATAATACATGGGCACGCGTAGATATGGAATTTCTCTTCGAGTGTTTATAATGGTAATTGAACAGAGTAGAGTGCAATTTGGGCTGAAATCATACGCGTGATTTCAAAATCGAACAAGCGCGCAGCGCGAGTTCGATTTGAAATCACAAGGCTCTGGCTTCTTGGGTGCTCTCCAAACTTCCTACGTGCTCCATAACTCGATAATACGCATGAACCAAATCATTTTCTGAGCTTCAAATATAAATGTGGATGCTCTTTGCTAATGGAAAAATCTTTGCTCATGGAAAAATCAAAAGCGGAAGAAAGTCCAGTATGAAAAAAAAACAAACAAGAAAAAAAAATAAACAGAGAGAAAAAGGCCCAAAGAAGAGAGAAAGAGTACCATTCTGCTGTGAAGTGCGCGATGCAAACAAAATATGCAAATAACTTGAAAAACGAGCCCCAAGACGAGTGGTTGCCGCGAAAATTTCCCCAGGGGACTTGCTTTGGTACGAGATTATTACACCCTCCTGATTTAATAATTTTTATTTGAAAATACATTTATCTAAATAACTCGGGTCCCTTTAAAGATTTCAAAACTTTTTTCTCATTGGAAGGAAGGAAAAACGTTTTTTTCGGCCTCTGAAGATGGAAAGTAACCTTACGTGCTGGAAATTTCCTTTCACGTTGGTGAATGACTGTTTTAAATGTCACGCAGAATGAAGTAAGATGTTATTTCCTCTTCGCATAAATAATCTAATAACATATACGTTCGTAATCATTCTCACCGGAATCGGGGAGCGTCTGGACCTGATTGCCAGAATAAATCCCATAATGCCCGTTGGCAATACCTATCCAAGTAAGAAGCAAAATTTAGGTTTTAGAAATCAAGTAAAATGCCTGAAAAAGAGTCAGAAAAATGCAGTTTTCAGGTAACACAAGACCCCAAAGAGTTATAATTCAGTGTACAAATGGCAACTCTGCATGTTTAGCTACTCTTGCTTATTTACTGTGTTCCTAATTGAACTCGGAATCGTTTGAGTGCCTGAACTGAACTCATCTTAACATTTCGTCTTGGTGCGAATGAATTAAATATCTTGTTTAAGACTATTGTCGTGCTTTATATAGTCAGGCGATATCAGATCAAAGTCCAATTGGGTCGACAAGAGCGGAAGTCGATCATAAGGCGTTTGAAAACAATGGAAAGGTATTCTTTAAGTCTAGCAAGGGTTTCCATTGTTTAGTAGAAGTCCCATTCTCAAAACAATTTGGCCTTCTAAACAGAAATACGAAAAAATGGCCCATTTGTAGTGCAATTCTTGGAACAGTCGACCGATTTTGTACGGTATCACGACCTATCCGCTTGTAAAATTAATTCCTCTGCGGCAATATAAACAATTCTACCTTACTTCTGTAGTCTCAACTTTGACTTTTCTTAGAAGAACAGATTTCGCTTCCCTATCTAACTTTCGCAGCCGTAAAAATATTTGTATCGCTTTATGAAAACCATACCTTGTAGCACTAACTTAGCTCTCTGATATTGAGCGCCATTATCAACCTACATTCCCCGATGAAAGGTAGCTGTGATGGTTGTGTGAAATTAAGTCGCAGTAGTCGGATTATTGAAACAAAGAGAAGCACCAGCAAAAAGAGTTTTACATCTTCGCCATGAACTTCGAATTTCCCATATCATAACTGTCAAAAGCATGAGCGTAAGCAATGAAACACCCGTAGTTCGATGTCTTGAGCAAGTGTACTTACAAGAGCTGCTATCCAGAATGGCATCAACAAATGGCTGAGGTATGTGTAACGTACTTTAAAATGATCCACGATGCCGAGTGCAAAAAGGATAACTGACATTACCAGCGGAATAATTCGAAACGATTTTCAATTCTAGCCGACTCAACGCTATGTCTAGTGTAATACATTTCCGTGACGTTTAATCATAAGCTAAAACTGATTAGTGAAACATGCACAATATCTCGATCCCAGACTTGTCGCAACGATTTCAGGTCTGGGACAATGATGGCTTTGAGAACGAGATCATGTTTAGTCATTTAAATGCTTAGATATTTTAGAATTACCGACAGCGAACTACAGTGAATCAGCAAATATTCATTTAGAAACACTCGCTTGAGCTTGGGAAAAATGTTAAACCAAATCGAGTAAGATTTATAAGGCTTTTTTTAAATATTATCTCTTGCACTATGCGACAACTTTTTGAGCCCTCAATTTGAGGGTCAAACTAGTTATTACTTTGTCTCTCTGTCTATTTTTCCTCGCAGCATCAAACAGTTAGGCAACGAGAATAACGGAAATAATCTCAAATTATCTTTATTGTAAAAGAAATTCTCTTTGTTAGTACCATAGGAAATGTAAAGAGAACAGTATGGAGAATATGTATGATGATGATGGGGGTGTAAAGGATATTATCTTCCCAAGATTCAACGCGAGTAGTGATAAGAGATTGAGAAAGAGAAAGAGAAAGATCCGAAACGACGGAGGCGGATTGGGAAGGAGGGTGGGGCGTTAAAGTCGAAATCTGATGACAACGTTTCTACATTCGTGGAGGTTGCTCGTTAATTATATTTTACGCTTTCTTCAAGCTTCCGGGTACATTTTGATCTTAAGATATCTAGCAAACATTTCGGCCACGAAAAGACATAAATTATTTTAATTAATCAACCAATCAATCAATCAATGTATTTAACGTGGTCGGTATGCTCTAGTTTACAGGTACACCACGCAATAAGAAAAAAATAGCAAAAATGGAGAAAAAAACTTACGCCTTTTGAAGGGGTATAAATTTAAAATAAGTTAAGATTAAAAACTAACTAATATAAAAATATAAAAATCCAAATACTACTTATACTACTAAAACTACTTCTAATAACATTCTCGGTTTTTTGGTTTTAACAATTAATTTACTATCATGGCGTTAAAAAAGCAATGGATTACATCTGGTCGCCCTCTGTACAGCAGTGTATGGAACGGATACCATCTAAGCTGCCTCTTGATCTGAACTCGAGAATAACAGAGGGACACCATCCACTGCCACTTGACGATAAGCAACGCTTGCCTGCTGATTAGATACAATGAAAAATATTTTACATAAGGTAATAGTCACTATTCATCACGTGTTGGGGGGGGGTAAGGGGTGGGTAGGGGTGGGAGAGTTTCGGAGGGATTACTTGGTTTTGAAGGGAAACGGAGGGGGGGTCAGTCGTCGCTAATAAAGTAGAACATACATGTTTATTGTTTCATGTAACTCCCAACTTGGGCTTTTCGGTTACAATGTCTAACTACAATATTTAAAATGCATGTTAGTTAAAAAGGAGAAGGAATAACAGGTAAATAATACATTTTATGGCTAGAATCAATTACAAAAAACCCAAGAATATAATTTAAAAATTAAGTTATACTCAAGGGGACTGTACAAATTGATCTTTAATTTGGTGGTCGTAAAAATACTTCAGAGTTTTAGGGGAGAATGAGGTAAATTTAATTTTAAAATTTACAAAACCCTCCAGTCCCCAAAGTCCCCTTAGGTGACATACAATGACTGATTCCTAAAATCCTCTTAAAGTAATGCAGTTCTGAATTGAAAAATTTTGTATTTGCCAAACAAAGAAATTACAAAATTACGAAACCCTCTGGAGATCACATGGTTTTCAGGGAATAGAGAGGGATCACAGGTCGTTAACAGAGTATAAAGGGAGGGGGGGG